CGCCACTTGGCCCCATCCCTTCCTTTTATGGTCTTGGTTCTTGCCTGTTTTGTTTTGTTTTCCTTTTCCTTGGCCATATAGGTGGAGTAGAACTTGGCAGCTCACCTGAGGCGGCCTGACCCAACAGGTTGAAAAAGACGATTGGGCCCATTTGGCAGCAGGAAGCTGCCATTGTGGTAGAAGCAGGCACCGATGAGAACTTATGGAACAAAGAGTTTCTGAGTCACAAACCTTTGAATGGGTTCCCTGAAATAGGGGTTGGAGGTGGGGTGACCTGAGGATGAAACACCAGTGAGCTAGGTGCCGGCTCATGCCCGAGACTGAGTGAGGATCACAGCTTGAAGCCAGCCTGGGCAGGAAAGTCCGTGAGTCTCCTACCTCCAACTAACCACAGAAAAACACTGGAAGTGGAGCTTAGAGATGTGCCTCAAGTGGTGGAGCAAAAAAGCTCAGGGACGGTGCCCAAGCCCTGAACTCAAGCCCCAGGACCAGCACCCACATACAAAAAATAAACTAAAAATGCAAAGGGACTTCTTTCTCCCATCCTGAAGAGAGCAGGTTGCTTGTATCTGATTTTCTTGTGGCTCCTATGTTAGGAAAACCTAAAAAACATCTTACTTCCTGTTTTTCAAGCCTTGGTCTAGGAATTACTTTTCAACTCTTTAACAGTCAGGGTTGCCTGCCACCATTTAGTGACTCTCCGGTCCATCCACTGAAGGCCATAGGAGGCCTGCTTCCAGGGAGCTCAGCCGTGGCCTTCAGCTATGTGGCTTAGTTTTTGAGCCAGCTGACACATGCTGAGTGCTCTGGGACTGACCCTGGCAGAAGAGGACAAAGTTCCAAGTGCTTCAGTGTATGAGGCCTGCGGGCATGAGCTCAGCACTGGCAGAATCGCAGAAAGGGCTTTTGCTTTATGGAGTTTAATGGCTTCCTTTCAACTAGTTATAGAGTAGTGTCTGCCTGAGAGTTGTTAAATACCCACATGCAGCTAATTGTTCCAGTAAGCTGTAAAGGGCAGTGTGATTAAATGGTCACCCTGGGTGAAGTTCAAGTGTGGTGATTTCTTGTTTGTTAGCTCTTCTCTCAAGTCCCATAGCTAGGCACAAGCCAGATTCCCAACTTGGTGAACACTGATTCTCCACAAATCTTATTTTCATGGGTGTGGTTTATAAGATCTGCCGCTTTGGTTTATAGTCAAAACTAGCATGTCCTAAACAACAGAAAAACACACAAACAAAAATTTATTGATATTTTACCCCTGGACTTTTGGTGTTTTCTTGCAGAAGTAACTTTTTTGTGTGGTCTGTGTTTGGTTTTGTCTTGAGAACTTTGTGTCAGAGGAAATTACCTTCCATTTAAAACAGTGCTTTACTACCACTTGTACAAATTGGTATCTGTCCTTTAGCAGATTCTGACTTTGCCTAAAGATAATTTCCTACCTTCTTGCCCTGCTTGATAGACCAGCTATGCAACCTTTAAGAGAATTCCCTAGGGTTTTGTGACAGGGTACCTAGGCATAAATAGGCTCCTAATTGATAGAGTTTCTAGACCTGCCCTGGGTGCATACAGCCTCATTGCTAATAAGTCTTTCTCTCTACACTGTAGTAGGCTTGTATTCCAAGCAGGGCCTGTTGGCAGTGTGTGGCTCTTAGCTCATGCCAGTACTGTTAGCTTCTGAATTCTGCTCCAGGAGTTGTTTTTTTAAAAATTTTATCGTAAAGGTGATGTACAGAGGGGTTACAATTACATAGTAAGATAATGAGTACATTTCTTTTTGAACAGTGTTACCCCATCCCTCATTTTCTCCTATCTCTTCCCAAGTCTCCCCCCCTTCCCGCTCTCCCCCCTCTCCCCCCTTTCCAGGATTCTTTCTGCCTCTGGCCTGTGATCCTAGGAGAATCAGTGTGGAACTAAAGGCATTTTAGTCAGGGTTAGGGCTTCTTATCTCACATACTCTGTCTCCTTATCAGCTCCTTCCAGCGGTCTCACAGGTGAATAGTTACATTTCTGAGTAACTGCTTTTATCTTATCTACCTGTAGTTGTGGTGACTTCTTTGCATTTACTAATTGGAAATTTAGAGTCCAGTTCTCAGATCATCTTCTGCAGTGTATAAGAGCAGTTGCTCATGAGTAACTGAGTAATGTGTGATTGTAAATTTCCTAGTAGTCATATTTTTAAAAAAAACATTGTGTGTGGTGAGCCTCTCCAGGGGCTTGAACTCAGGGCCTGGGTACTGTCCCTGAGATTTTTTTTTTTTTTTTTGCACAAGGCTAGATCTCTATCACTTGAGCCACAGTTCTATTTCTTTTTATAGTTGGATATAAGAATTTCCGTTCTCTTGCTTGAGCTGGCTTTGGGCTTTGAACCCCCGATCCTCAGACCTCAACCGGTGTGAGCTACCAGCACACAGCACAGATTAAATTATTTTACAAAGGGAAATGAAACTAGTGACAGTTTTAATAGCAGTTGTATATTTTATCTACTGCCTCAAAAGATGTCACTTAAAATTTTAAGCAATGGGGAGTTGGAGGTGTGGCTGACGTGGTAGAACAACAATCATGCTAGTGCAATGCCTTCAGTTCAAACCCCAGGGTGGCCTCCCCCTCCCTCCCCCTCCTCCCCCCCCCCGCCTCCTCCCCCCCCCCCCCCACACACACACAGAGCAAAAGATTTAATCTATGTATTTTTTTTTTTTTTTGGGGGGGTCCGGTTGTGGGGCCTGAACTCTGAGCCTGGACGCTGTCCCTCAGCTCTTCAGCTCAAGGCTAGCGCTCTACCACTTGAGCCACAGCGCCACTTCTGGCTCTTTTCTTTTTGCTTATGTGGTGCTGAGGAATTGAACCCAGGGCCTCATGCATGCAAGGCAAGCGCTCTACCACTGAGCCACCTTCCCAGCCCGATTTAATCTATGTAAAATCACATTCTCCTTCTAAAACACCTAAACACATTCACCTTCTAAAACTTCAGAGTACTTCAGGGTAGCTTTTTGAGCCACCATGGGTAAATTGAGGTTGAAGCAGGAAGGCACACGAGTGAACAGAAGCACTTTTCCAGAAGAGTCTACGCAAGGCTGGTTGGAGGGGTTTTGCAGGAGCAAGGAGGAGGGAGGGATTTTTAAATTTTCTATTTCTTATTCTTTTGAGCAGGTCAGGCTGTTTATTGTTGTCTGGATAGACCTTGAACCTACACACCTTCATTTATTAATCTTTTCTTGGAGACATTCAGGAAAGAAGAAAACACTGTGGAGAAAACTGAGACCTCCCCCTGTCAGTTAATTGGATGCATTTGATGAATAGTTTTTCTCTTGTGGCTTAGGAGGATCCAGAGTTGGTTGGTGATTGTCCTAGATTGACAAGTGTGTCCCAGATTCTTAGTCAGTGAACTCACAGTTGGGGGCTTATTTCTTACTGGGCAGGCCAGTGAATTGAAGGGCTCCATTCCTTTGGCTGCTGCTTGCTGGAGGGATAGAGCGCCTCCTTCCTTAGTTACTCCTGCACCAACCAAGTCCCTGTGTGAAGTCCCCATGTTTGACACAGAAAAGGCTTTTGTCTTGAGGATTGCTTTGTTTGATTTCTATAGTTGTCTTCCTCCTCTTTTTTTTCTTCCTTCTCCTCCTCCCTCCTCCTCATCTTTTCCTTCTCCTTCCTCCTCTCCTTCCCTGATCCTCCTCCCTCCTCTTCTTCCCTTCTTCTTTTCTTTAGTGGAACTAGACTTAAAACATCCTTCTCCTCTCCCTCTCCTTCTCCTTCTCCCTTTCTTCTCCTTTTCTTTCTCTATTTCTATTTCTATTTCTTTTCACCAGTCCTGGGGCTTTAACTCAGGGCCTGGGAATTGTCTCTGAGCTTCTTTTGCTCAAGGCTAGCACTCTACCCCTTGAGCCACGGCACCACTTTGGGCTTTTTCTGTTTATGTGGTACTGAGGAATCAACCCAGGACTTCATGCATGCTAGGCAAGCGCTCTACCACTAAGTCATATTCCCAGCCCCAAACATCTCTTCTAATGACAAATAAGGGTACTGTTAAAAAACATTTCTCTCTGAATGTTACACAAACAATACATGAGTGGATATAAGCAGATGGGTCTTTTGAAAAAAGTAGGGGGAGACCTCATAGTTACCCCTGTGTCTGTTAAGATGAATATGCATCATTTTTGTTTTGTTCTGATCCTGTTTTTTGTGATTTGAGACAGTCTCACTGTGTAGCCAAGGCTGTCCTCCAATTCTCCATCCTCCTTCCTCAACCTCCTGTGTGCTAGGATTACAGAGATGCACCATTCCCAGTGAATGTGCATGTTTTATTGATTGGTTTGTTTTGGTACAGGGCCTTAAAGTATTGATTCTTCAATATTTAGAAAATATCATGGCAAGATAAAGCCTACTGTTCTTGCTATAGCTACTGCTTCATATATTAATCCCTTTTCTAGGCAGGAGGAATAGCCTGCCTCTCTTCCTTCCCTCCCTTTCCCCTCCCCTCCCTTTCCCTTCCCTCCTCCTCTTCCTCTTCTTCCTCCTCCTTCCTCCTTCCTCATCTTCCTCTTCTTCTTCTCCCCCCCCCCCTCTTCTTTTGGTGCCAGTCCTGGTGTTTGAACTCAGAGCCTGGGTGCTGGCCCTAGGCTTAAAAAAGCACTAGCTCAAGGCTAGTGCTCTACCACGTGAGCCACAGCTGTACTTCCATCCTTTTGGTGGTTCATTGGACATAGAGTCTCATGGACTTCCTACCCAGGTCTGGCTTTGACCTGTGATCCTCAGCTCTCTGCCTCCCGAGTCGCTAGGGTTCCAGGCATGAGTCCCTGGCACTTGGCGGAGGAATAATCTTTCTTCATGTACCATCTGTTTCACTGCACACCGCATCACCTTTTGAGTGTCACACGTGACCTCAAAGTACTCACAAGGTTGCTCTGTGAGCATACATGTCTTGAAAAGTGGAATTACTGTCTGCCTGTTCAGTTTTATCTGTACATCTGTAATACCTTGCTTTGCTTGTTGTACCACAATAACAGGGTTACACAGAAAGAGATTATGAGAACAAAAAAATCAAGTTGGAGAAAGAAGTCAAATCACAGTCTTCATCTTCTCACAAAGAGTCTTCTAAAACAAAGTGAGTATAAAGAAAGGTAACCAGGTCTTCTTGGGTCTCAGCAAAGGAAAGCGTTTCCTTCTGGTGGGAGCAATGGATTAATGGATTGCTCTGGCTCATTCTGAGGATATGTAACATTTGTTTCCTATAAGTCTCTTCCCCTCCCCTCCCCCCAACCCACCCCAGATCTTATCAACGGATCCTTTGATAGAAAGTCAATATATCAGAAGCATTTTCACTAAGGGAAGTTTCCTAAACACCTGAATTAATCAATTTTTAGTAAAGGTCCAGTGCTCTTTTTAGAGATGAGGAAGAGTCTGTCAAGCCTTTCTGTGGCTTTGGCACTTGGGCTCTCGGCCCCATGCTCTCAGTCAGCGTTTTTTGCTCATGGCTGCTGCTCTACCACTTGAGTCACACCTTTACTTCTGCTCTTTTGCTGGTTAATTGGAGATATAAATAAGTCTGGTAAATTTGTTTGCCCAGGCTAGTTTTGAACCATGATTCTCAGATCTCAACCATCTGTGTAGCTGGGATTATAGGCGTGACCCACAACACCTGACTGCCTTTTCGCATCTTATTAGGGAGAGGGATGGCAGGTGAAAGTTGTAGTGCCAAGAAGGTATGATTATAAAGTGTAACTTATTTACTCTGGCATGCGCATCCAGGAGCTTGCCAAAACAAAAACAAGTGCATAGTTCATAAATGCAGGAGCCCCCAGACATGGGGGCGGGGGGGGGGGAAGGGAGGCATCAGATGTGAAGGTGGCCGTTGACCTTGCCTGTTTGTCAGGACAAGGTGTGGACTGAGGAACAATTGAATAAGAGAGGTACATGGTTATCAAAAGTTGGGACCTGGAGCTGGGAAGGTGGCTCAGTGGTAGAGCGCTTGCCTTGCATGCATGAGGCCCTGGGTTCGATTCCTCAGCACCACATAAGTAGAATAAGCAGGAAGTGGCGCTGTGGCTCAAGTGGTAGAGGGCTCGCCTTGAGCTGAAGAGCTGAGGGACAGCGCCCAGGCCCAGAGTTCAGGCCCCACGACTGGAAAAAAAAAAAAAAAAAGAAAAGAAAAAAAGTTGGGACTTCTGGCAGACTCTGCTAGCTTAGTGAGAAGCTATACAACTTCATTTATTACCAGTGGATAGGGCTAGATTTGTCAGACATGCAAAAGTCCCTAAAATTCAGCCTTTCTACGACAGTTTTATGCTCTGGGACAGCATGATCTTTCCTGCCTTAATTTAGATGTTTATAACCAAACAAAGCCATGTCGTTTGTGGTCCTCTTCAACTTAATTTTGTATGATGTTTTACTCCAGGACACCCAGGCCTTCCTCAGAGCCTTCAAAAAAGGAAATGCTTCCTCCTCCACCTGTGTCTTCCTCTACTTCCTCTTCCTCCTCCTCTTCCTCCTCCTCCTCCTCCTCCCAGAAGCCAGCCAAGCCTGCACACAAGAGGTCAAGGCAGGAAGCAGACAGCTGTGGTCAGGACCCTCCCAAAAGTGCCAGTAGTAGTAAGAACAACCATAAAGATTCTTCCATTCCCAAGCACAGAAAAGTCCAAGGGAGGGGCTCCGGAAGCTCCACGGAACACAAAGTAAGTAGCAGGATCAGCCTGTGTGAAAATGGAATGCGTTGCTGTGTCTTTTCCAACTCCATCAAGTTAACTCTCCCCAGTGATGCACTCTACAGCCGTCTATTTGTTCATCAGTTTTACTTTGGAGCTTATGGCTCCCATTTCTTTTCTCTCACTTTTTTTTTTAAGATGTGCTTATTGAATGGCAGTTAATATTGCACAAAAGTCTAGGGGTCAATTCTGAAAGTGATTCAGAAGTGGAAATATGTATATATAATTTTTTTATTGCTTCCTTTTTATCAGATGTTTAACAATAAGAAATGGTTAGCCCTTTTTTTTTAGATCTCAAATACTTTCATTTACTGTATATCAGAGGAAAAAAACCCTCTTATTTCTCAAACAAATCAATTACCCTTTCCCACTTAATGGGGGGGGGGTATGTTGACTAAAAGATGATTTTATGCTTTTCATTGAGTTCTGTTTGTGTACATTGTTGTCTTCACTCTAATTAAGTCCCCAGTATCAGCATACTCTACAGCTTCAGGTCCTTTAGCTTGCTCAACCAAGCTAAACTGTAGTGTTTGTTTTTGTTTTGTTTTTGTTTTTTGGTCAGTTGTGGGGATTGAACTCTGGGCTTGGGTGCTGTCCCTGTGCTCTTCAGCTCAAGATGAGTGCTCTACAGTTTGAGCCACAGCGCCACTTCCTAAACTGTAGTGTTTGATTTGCTCTTTTTCTTCAATTTTGGGCTGTTAAGAGGGATGTCAGGTATGCTGACATGCCTGCAACTCCAAACACTGAGCAAACTGGGGCAGGAAAGTCAAGAGTTCAAGTCCTGCTAGGCTGTACCAAAAGACTGTCTATGAAACAAATGAAAAAAGGGCGTGTGTTAACTTTTAGGACATATAATACATATTATTTTTTTTTTTAAGGGATTTTCTGGAGATACTTCAAATCCTTTTCCAGTGCCTTCTTTGCCAAATGGCAACTCTAAACCAGGGAAGCCTCAAGTCAAGTTTGACAAGTAAGAGTTCAGATGCTTCTGTTCTCACCCTCCATCCTTCCCTGGACATGGTCCCATTGTCTGGTTTCATTCTGTTTTTTTTTTTTGTTTTGTTTTGTTTTTTATTTTTGTCGGTCGTGGGGCTTGAACTCTGGGCCTGGGCGCTGTCCCTCAGCTCTTCAGCTCAAGGCGAGCGCTCTACCACTGGAGCCACAGCGCCACTTCCCTGGTTTCATTCTGTACTTGCGCTCTTCCCCCTGCCATCTTCTTTCACCGAGTCTTCTGTAGTTACCCCGCTCTGTCCTGCTACTTGAGGTTCACATGACCCCCTGCTTTTCTTTTTCAGACAGCAAGCTGATTTTCACATGAAGGAAGCAAAAAAGTTGAAGTACAAAGCAGAGTCTATGGTGAGTCTTGGCTTTTGTCCCCTTGGTAGAAATACACACACACACACACACACACACACGCACGCACGCACGCACGCACGCACGCACGCACACACGCACGCACACACGCGCAGGTTCAGGGTCAGCAAGAGGGAGAGTTGGATGGGTGTCTGGAAGATCTGGGTTCAGGGACAGTAGGAGGGAGGGTTGTTTGGACCCACTATTGGCTGAGGTGTGAGCAAGATCTGCTGACTGTGGGGTAAAGGGTATTGGTGGAATACTGTGGCTCCATTGACTGAATCTGATCATGGGGAAATGTATGTAGTGCCTAGTGACATTTCCTAAGGAGTGAACATGGGCCTGCCTGGTGGAGAGTTCATATATGGGTGCTTTTTTGTCCCGCTGAATTAATTCTTTGGATGTGAACAGTAAATTCTGGGAAGCCTTTTTACATTCCAAGGTTATCTCAAAACCTTGACTGGTCCTGAAGGAATAGTTGACCAAGGACAGAAAATTTAAGGTAAAGGTACTGATTGTATTGCTGGTACACAAGCCCTGCACATGTGAGTTCTCCTTACTCGCTGGCCTTTGAACTTTCTGGAAGGTTTGGGGTTAAGTTATATACATGGTTAATATGTTTTTATATCCCTGCTGCAGTTTATAGAGATCATGTTTATCATATTTAAAACCATCTCTCAATGATTAAAGCTTTTCTTTTTCCCCTGAGTGTGTTTAGAAACCTAAACACACTGTGAACAAACCCCTCCCTCCCTGGAGCAGTGTGTGGCACCCTGGTCTCAGGACACAAGCACCTGGTGGCCCTGCCCTCTGGCATTCAAGCCTACCTGTGCTCGCCGGGCCCTTGGGGATCGGGTTGAGGCTGCCATGGCAGGTGTCAGGATATTGTCCTGCTGTCCATCCACCTCAGCCACAGACATTCAGCTCTTGTCCAACACTAGGAAGGGGCACACTGTTACCTTCTAACAGGCAAAATGACCTGTTTCTCTTTTTGTGCTCTTAGCAAGTCCAGAACAAGCATGTTGGGATGACCCACGCCAAACCATGGTGCTCTCTACTGTCTCCTTGTACCGCCAACATTGTGACTGGGCCCGTGTGTCTCTTTCAAGTTTTGGAAGAGAGTAACCAGTGCCACCGCCAGTTATCTAAAACTTAACCCAACACGGGGTATTTTCAACATTAGATTCCCTCATTATTCAATTCACAGTAGTACTCTAGGGAGATTTGTTTCCGATCTATGTATAGGCAGGTCTTTTTTCACAAGGTGGCCATGTGTCCCGGGGCACTTTCGTTAGTCCTACAGTATGCCGCTCGCATTCCATCGTAATAGGTAATTACATCCCATTTTGTTCCCATCTTCTGCCAGGCCAACCAATAACCTGTATAATCACACTACGTCATTTCTCTCCATTGCATAATGTCTCAAAGCTGTGCTCTTGGCGTTCCAGAGAGCAGAGGGCCTGGCTGAGTGTAGAGGGCAAGTGTCACACAAGCTCGTGCTCATATGGAGCAGGGAGCCTGCCGCGCTGCTACTTCACAGCATTTCAGGAGAGTTGTGCCAGGCACAATCTCATTTTTAGCTTGGTGAGATACTGAAGGAAGTAGTATTGTTGACTAGTTGCGCTATGATCCTCTGCTTTGCTTTGCTTCTGCCCTTCAGCCAATGTTAATTTTGGAAATTTCATGAGAAAGTTTCAAAAAAGCACATGAAAAAAAAAATAAGCACCTTTTTGAGAATTAGATTCCCATCAGTGAAGCAATGAGTCTGTCCTGTATTGCTGATTAGCTAAGGCATGTGAATCTGGCTTTTTTTTTTTTTTTTTTTTTATCACTCATCTTCTGAGTCTGGTCTCTTTGGGAAGAATTTTTATTTTATTTTTTTTGGGGTCCAGTCGTGGGGCCTGAACTCTGGGCCTGGGCGCTGTCCCTCAGCTCTTCAGCTCAAGGCCAGCGCTCTACCACTTGAGCCACAGCGCCACTTCCGGCTTTTTTCTTTTTTTGCTTATGTGGTGCTGAGGAATCGAACCCAGGGCCTCATGCATGCAAGGCAAGCGCTCTACCACTGAGCCACCTTGGGAAGGATTTTTAAATGAAGGTCAAAATGGTATGTGTATACATATAAATATAGGTGTACATAAATATGAGTGTGCACACCTATACACATGCATGCATATGTGCATATGAATGCATCTACTGGTAAGGCGTAAGAACCATATATAGTGTAGTTGACTGAGAATAATTAGCAGCGCTAAGCCCTCTGCCAACATGTCACTGTCTTCCTGTATTCCATGTACATCTTGACTGTCTTCATTCTTCCTGAACATGTCAAGCTAGAAAGAAATTCCAATCTGGCAAGTGTTAACGAGCTGCTTTCATGCGTGGTGTGCATGTCACGTGGAGAGAGAAAGTGTCATTCACCACAATCTCTCATTAGTCTGACTGGTTCTGTGCCAATCATCGAGGATAGGGCTAAGCCACCAAACGGGTATTTGAGTGCAAGGTGATTTCACTTAGATTTCTCCATTTCCTTTAAGGGACTTTGAGATTTTTGCCCCTGTTGGCCCAGACAACAGCCTTGAATACCAAACCAAGGCGCCAAAGAAGATTAATCTGTTGGATTCTCAAATGCATACAAGATTACTGTGAGATCATTTTAGGTGCTTATAAACCATAATAAATGCTTTCTACTTATAAGAAAGCCCTCATCACTTCCTGTTTCTCAAGAAAGTTACATAATGAGTGACCGCACACTAATGCAAGCCTGTGTACTTCATACCTTAGTTTGGACATGTACGCTCCATGAAGTTTTCAAAAAATAGTTGTAATACCAAATTGTTTTCTTTTCTCTCAATGAACTTTTGCTGAAACACATTTTTTGTGTTCAAAGCTGACTGGCTGGGGCTGGGAAGGTGGCTCAGTGGTAGAGCGCTTGCCTTGCATGCATGAGGCCCTGCGTTCGATTCCTCAGCACCACATAAGCAAAAAGAAAAAAGCTGGAAGTGGTGCTGTGGCTCAAGTGGTAGAGTGCTAGCCTTGACCTGAAGAGCTGAGGGACAGCGCCCAGGCCCAGAGTTCAGGCCCCACGACTGGACCCAAAAAAAAAAAAAAAAGCTGGCCTTGGTTCTTACCACTTTCAGCTGGTTCATTCTCCTCTTTGACCACAAGAAAACTAAGACAGCAAAGTTCAAGTTACAGTAAAGAACAAGGGTGAGAAACTAAAGCCTGCCTTAAACCTGACAATAACTGTGTTCTTTTACAGACAGACAAGGTTGGAAAGGCCTTTAAGTACTTGGAAGCCATCCTGTCCTTCATTGAGTGTGGAATTGCCATGGAGTCAGAAATGCCGGCATCGAAGTCAGCTTACACGGTGTACTCAGACACTGTGGATCTTATTAAGTAAGTGTGAGGGGTTCCTCTCCTCACCTTGACTGTCTGTGCCCCTGGAACCTTAGAGTGCAGACAGTTTAGAAAGGGGAGTCTTGGAAAAGTTACCAGGGGTAGGGGTGCAGTCCAGTGGTATTGCACACATGCCACTCATGAGTCCCTGGGTTCAGTTCCCAGCACTTTTTGTTGTTGTTGTTGTTGCCCAAGAACTCTTTTTTTCCTAGGTGAAATTGTGATCTGATCTAGATGAAACACAGAATGACTGGGTCCCACTCTCTCATCTTGCCAAGGTGTGCTGAGAAATGCCAGGCCTTGGAGGGAGAGATTGGCCTTTCCAGTTCAGCTTTCTTATCGCTGTTGCTCAGGTGTGTGTTTACCTCACGGTGCAGGGGACCGTGAGGACACTGTGGCACCGGTATGAGGAGGCAGACAGGACACAGGGCCTGGGTTTTCTGAATGGTCTCGTTGTTGCTCTAACGCGTCCCTGTTTTCTGGGCTGCACCCAGTCTTAGAACTGCAGGAAGAGTCAGTGCCCAGCGCTGGCATGACAAGGTACGCGGGCTGGGATCTGTGACTGCCTTTGTTTAACCTCATGTATCTTTACACCCCTCCTTAGATTCGTGATGTCGTTAAAATTCTTCTCTGATGCCACCATGCCAACACAAGAGAAAATATTTGCTGTTTTATGGTGTGTACATTTTTCTTTGTCTAAATAGCACCAAGTCAGTGTTTCTCTGGATGTGAAACACGAGTTTGAAATTTGCTTTCTTCTTAATGTAAAAATTGTGATGAGAGGCATGTGAGTCTCTTGGTGGTGGGTTGGTTGTGATTAGGGCCGCATGGCGTCTGCTGCTGCTTCACTGCGGACTCAGTGACTGCAATGGTCTTGTGACATAAATCCTATCCGCATACATTTGTGTTTTCCAGTCTGCGTCCTGCAGTCCAGTACCTTTCCTCTCCTGGGTACTCCATTGTACTTTTGAGGGATAATTGGCTCCTTTCTGTGTGGCAGAGTCCTTTCCATGAAGCCACGTGGGTCACTGTAACTTGTATTTTTGTTCACAGCATGCGTTGCCAGTCTCTCCTGAACATGGCCATGTTTCGCTGTAAAAAAGACATAGCAATAAAGTATTCTCGTACACTTAATGAACACTTCAAGAGTTCTTCCAAAGTGACACAGGCACCTTCTCCATGCGTTGCAAGGTAATGATAAGTCTAATTTCATTCATCTACAAAACAAATGCATCTCACCATTTACTGCTTTGGCAGCTGCTGATGTTAGATTTTCAAAATTCATATGCTTTATCTTTTTGCTTACTTGCTCCTTCACTGAAGTCCTTAGCATATTTTTGCTTTTTGAGAACTAGTTAGGAATCAAGCTTTTGGCTGACTGGACGACATCAAAGGTATATAGTGTGGGGGATACTCTTAGAGGAAGAGTCTCCGTGCCTCTGTCACACAACACAATGTGGAAATGAACTTTAGGAAATGTAAAGAGATTTTTCTTTCTGTTAAAAAAAAAAAAAAATAAGAGCTGGGTGCTGGTAGCTCACACCTGTAATCCTAACCACTCAGGAGGCTAAAATTTGAGGATCATGGTTCGAAGCCTGGGCAGAAAAGTCCCTGAGAGACTCTCTTTTTTTTATTATTATTTCATTTTTATTATTATTATAAAGGTGATGTACAGGGTGGTTCCAGTTACATAAATCAGGGAATGAGTACACTTTCTTTTTGGACAATGTTACTCCTTCCCTTACTGTCCTGTTTTCTTTTTCTAAAGCAAATCCCCTGAGAGACTCTTACCTCCAGTAAACCACCAGAAAACTGGAAGGGGCACTGTGGCTCAAAGTGGTAGAGTGCTAGCCTTGAGCAAAAGAGCTCAGGGACAGTGCCCAGGCCCTGAGTTCAAGCCCCATGACTGACCTCCCCCCACTCCCCCAAACAAGTACAGTGCTTACCCACTGATGACACAATTCAAGACCCTCAGTGGGTGCTTGAAATCACAGATAGTACCAGACCCATATATATACTATGTTTTTCCTATACATACTCGTAAGAGTTTATAAATGAAGCCCAATAAGAGATTAATAACAAGGGCTATGAATGTGACTTGGAGAGAGTGTTTGCCTAGCATTTCTGAGGCCCTGAATTCCATTCCCAGTTCTACCCATAAATGCTGCTGCTGCTGCTGATGATGATAAAACAGCCGTATACCATAATAAAACTATATGTAGTGTTGTATGTGTACTGTCTCCCTCTCTCCCTCCTTTGTCTCCTCTCCATCTCTGTATTTGAAACTGTGTAGTCCCTTTGGCTTGGGGTAGAGAGGTAGGGCCCAAACTTAATGATTCTCCTTTGCTAGCCTCTCAAGTGCTGGGATTATTCACCACCACCAGTTCAGGTTTCTTGCTTTGTTTGAATTTGATCATATTGCTTGGGAAGTTCCCCAGTTCTGAAAGGTTTTACCATTTTTCAGAGCATCACTTAGAAGACTGTCCCCTTTCCAGCAATTCGAAAGAAGACACTCCCATATGGCTTCTTGAAAACGTACTGACTGAGAAGGAATTTGTTACTGCTGAAAACTTCACCAGGCACACTGCCTGTTCACAAGTCACATTGTCGTAGATAAGCCAACCACTTGTCCAGCTGGAGCACCTCTTCACATGAACCCTGGTAGCTCCTGGGCATGTAGCAGGAGCCAAGGCAGAGACGAGTGCTCCCCTCAGAAATACTTCTCTCTTGTCCCTGAAAATGTGCACTCTGCTGGGCATGCTTCAGGACTGTCAGAGCTCGCTCACAAAGCAGATGCATCATGAGGCTGCTGCTACATCATTCTAATACCATTTGCTTTTTTTTTTTTCTTCAGTCGTGGGGCCTGAACTCTGGGCCTGGGTGCTGTCCCTCAGCTCTTCAGCTCAAGGCTAGCGCTCTACCACTTGAGCCACAGTGCCACTTCTGGCTTTTTTTTTCTGCTTATGTGGTGCTGAGGAATCAAACCCAGGGCCTCATGTGTGCAAAGCAAGCGCTCTACCACTGAGCCACCTTCCCAGCCCCTCCCTCAGCTCGTTAGCTCAGGCTAGTGCTCTACCACTTGAGCCACAACACCACTTCCTGCTTATTCTGCTTATGTGGTGCCTAGGAATCAAACCCAGGGCCTCAGGCATGCAAGGCAAGCGCTCTACCACTGAGCCACCTTCCCAGCCCCATTTGCTTTTTATGTCTAAGTGATTTCCTTGTTTTTCTACATGAGCCACATGAGGTATCTGATGACTAGATACTAAGCCAAGGGCAGAGTAGAGAGAAATGAAGTTTCCTGATATATTCTTGTGTCCACTTCCTCCTACTGTATTCTGTATCTGTTCGTTTATTTGGGAATTAATCAAGAATCCACATGAGTGGAGGGAGCAAATGTGAGCAAGTGTAGTCATTCTATTTGATGTACATTATGTAAAAAATGAGGGTGGAAATGAGAGGAGGAATAATAGGGGAGAACGAAGGGGTGACATTGATCAAGAAACATTGTCCTCATAATCTGATTTATGGGATGGGAATTTCTTTGTACGCATACTTAATACAAATTTAAGAAAACACATGTTAAATGCTAGTAAGTCAGAATTAGTAGGGCTTGGCCTCTGTTGTGGTGCTGTGACTCAGGAAAAGGAGGTTAAGTCGAGAAAGAGAGAAGTTGCAGTGGTGTCTGAAAGGAAGCCATGCTATCTCCATGGTGGCGAGAGCGCCAGGCGAGAGTGAGCACTCTGATAGCAGGTGAAGGGCTGAGCCGCAGGGCTGGCCGTGTAGCTCAGTGGCAGAGCTCCTAGCTGACGTAGCAGACCCCCCGCACTCCACACAAACAACAACCACCCCCCAAAAAGCCCACAGTGAAATACAGTGTGGCTAGCAGTACATGGGATACGGGCAGGGGAAGAGGAGGGATTCCCGCAGAGAAAGTGGAATGCACAATGGATAGCAGGCTGGTCCACAGAGATACCTCTCACCTTTTGGGAGTCAAAGATTATCATTCTGCCAGTAGTACACTGAAGCACTGTGGCTTAGACCATAACTCTAGAGGCAGGAGACAATAAAGTGATTAACCAGTGTTCTCTCTCTCTCTCTCTCTCTCTCTCTTGTCTCTCCCCCCCCACTCCCCCCCCCCCCCCCGCCTTGCAGAAGCACAGGCACCCCATCCCCTCTCTCTCCAATGCCTTCTCCTGCCAGCTCTGTAGGGTCCCAGTCAAGCGCTGGCAGTATGGGGAGCAGCGGAGTGACTGCCGCCATCAGTACCCCAGTCTCCATCCAGAACATGACCTCCTCCTATGTGAACATCACATCCCACGTCCTTACCGCCTTTGATCTGTGGGAACAGGCCGAGGTTCTTTTGAGGAAGAATAAAGGTAAAGGGCTCTCTCACCAGGGAGGTGCACAGACTCGGAGACTGGGAGGGAGTACTGCACTCTGTCTCTGTCTCATGTTCAATTTTTTGAAGACAAGGACATGAAGAGCTGCTTACTCCTCTCATTTCTGCCTCCTAGCGTAGCTGTTGTTCTTCCTTGAGCTCTGTGTCTAGATCTGAGCAAAACCAAAATGGAAGTGGCTTTTGCACCTTGCCTGCTCACAAGTTCTGCTGTCATCATTGCAGCCCAGGCAAAGCATTGGCTGTTCCTAGGCTCAGCACATTGGAGATAGGAAGTAGCAGAATCCTCATGCTGAGTTTGTTTGCAGTTTACCCTAAGAAGAATAGCTGGAACCACAAGGCAGCAAATAGGCTCAGTAAACTCTCTTGAGACATGCTGGGAAAGAAGGCCCTGGAGAAACCCAAGGCTGAGGAGCAGTTAAGGTCCCTGGAGTTCCGCTGGTGCCAGTGGCAGCTTGCACAAATGAGTGCCTAGTGAAGGCCATTCATTTCAGTTCTTTTCCAGCTGTAGAGAAGGCAGCCAGCTAGCTGTAGCCTCTCAATTTCTGTACAGCCTCTTAGATTTTTGTTAGCAAAATAATTATGCTTTTAACATCATTCAATCAGCATTTTCCCTTGTTTATTCATAGTCGATTCAAATGTATAAATTGGGTAATAAAAAGTGCCAGCTCTAAAGCCAAGCTGGTTTCTCCCCTTCTAGAATTGACAGCTACATTAGTCTGTGAGATGTGTGTGTGTGTGTGTGTGTGTGTGTGTGTGTGTGTAGTTTTATAGTTTTGTGTGTGTGTGTATGCTGTGATAGGTGAACTGTAGGATTTGGAGGGGTTATAACATCTATTTTATATGTGCATATGTATTTACATTCATTCTTTTTCTTCCTTTCCTTTTTTTTTCTCCCCCTTCAGAATTCTTTGCTCAACTGAGCACCAAAGTATGTATCTTGGCCCTCAATAGCAGTTTAGTGGACCTGGTACACTATACAAGACAGGGTTTGCAGCGGCTGAAACAAGTAACCAAAACACCTTAACGTGAGCCCAGCTGACACAATGCCTTGGAAACTGTTTTGCACATTGGAAGCCTCAAAATCAGCATAGACATTTGTCTCATTAGACGGCATCAAACTCCAGTAGGGAAGCAGAGATGGAGGCCAGCCCCAGAGATGATGTTGCTTTTCCGGAGTAAAGGATGGAAGTGCAGTGTGCCCTAATGGGCATATGGATGGTCTAGAGACATTTCTGTGCTTTTGTTTTGTTTTGTTTGGGTGTTTTGTTTACCCCACAGAATACAAGTTGCAAATGAAATGAGGAGAAGCAATTTCAACTCTGAAAGCAAGTTCTTTTCATCTCAGTAGCCATACTAATCCATTTCCAAAAGGAATTTTTTTTAAAAAATGATTTGTGGTGAAGGGTTTTGTGGATGATTTTTTAAAAACGTTTTTGGGGAAAGATTGCTTCATGAATTCTAATGGCCATCTGTAAAATATAAGTTGTGAAGGACTCCACTATACCCCGCGTCCTGCTGTTGAACAGTGGCTTTGATTCTAAGGATTGGTATTTATACAACTGAAGGTGACTCCTGGCCCCCACTCCCTAAACACATTTTCCCCCGTGAAGATTTCTTTTACTGTGCTGAAAGGCAGCCCAAGTGGAGCACTGGAGGAGGAGCAGCCACATTTGGGAGCATCTCATACCCCAAAAGGACTGGCGCTTCCATTCCTACCCTACTCCAGGAAGGCACATAACTAACAACATCAATGATGCTCTAAACAGCCCACCTTGGGGGAGGAGGGAACCAACATTTATACCTGACCAGATCGCTAAAGTGGTTTTTAATTTTTGTTTAACTGAGCTGGAATTCAAGGTGCTGATGGGTGGTTTGTAGCTGCATGGTAACTATTCTAATGAACTCAGAATTTTGTCAATGAACAAAGAAAAATGAAATCTTCTTAGGCTATATTTTTCTGTTACAGATTATATTTATAACAAAATGAAACTTTCCAGTGTCTTGATTGTCATGAGGAAGTTAATTTCCTGACCAGATGTGAAGATTTGGAGTATAAATTTGACTTTGAAAACATTGCCACTACATGCCTTCACTTCAGAGTGTTGTTGGCCAACTCGATTTGATTAAGTTGAAGAGGAACTGTGGCCTTTCTATAAGCTGTCACCCTGCTATCTACATTAAACCAAAATCTATTTGAAAGAACTAAAATGAAAGAACAAAGAATTCCCACAGGCCCATAAGCACAGTTTTTCCTTGAAACTTAGAAGGTTATTATTAGAATACTCGTTTGAGTTCAGTGTTTTTAAAAGCCAGTGCTTTATATCCCTTTTTTATGTAGAACTTGAACATGTATTAAAATCGAAGAGTTAGAGTTATTCCTAATCGGTCTTTTTCTCCTGTTGCCTCTGCACCTCTACACATTGTTACCTTTGTGTTTCATTTCACAGTTATTTGTGAAGCCACATGCAGCCCCTGTGATGAATGTGAGAACACCGTTGGTAGATTGACTAGGAGGACCCTAGACATGGGAGTGAGCTCACTTGTCACAGTGGGAACTCTGTGTGGCAATGTCCCTCTGGCTCTTCTGTACCACTGGCTTTACCCACAGAGTGTTAATATCTGAGCAGAAGACCTTCATATGTGATCCTGAAAAGCAGCTACTCTCTCTAAACAGCTAGTTTTAAAACATGAACACTGATGTGAACAGTAATTGGCCTTGGTAGTTTTGTTGTGCATCCTATAGAGGGGCAAGCAGCTAGCCTAAGGCCTATATGATGGCTGCAGCATATGCCTTTCTTACCATCTGCTCATGGCTCCTGAAACAAGCTGTATGGCAGTTATGAGGGCTTTGCGCTATGTGCTGAGTTCTTTCTGAGCTGATAGCCAGTGTACCCTTGACTGAAAACATTCCCCAGATTTCTCAGCCAATTTGAAAAGAACAGGTTGCTTGTTCAGTGACTGCCTTTGTGGGGTTTTTCTTCTCTCCCTTCCAAACTCTATTAAAAATATATTTATTCTTTGGAAAATCAATGAATTTGGGTATATTAGCTTGTACTGCTTTGGACATTGGATATTTCTAGTTCTTACTGCAATATTCATTTACCTAAAAGATAATTGCTAATGACTGTCTTTGTAATGGAATACGTAAAACGTAGTTGCTGGTAAAATGTGTACTATTCTGAAGGTCTTTATGCTTTACAGTTGTATATAGAAATCTGAAGGAATTTTTAAACATTTGCACTTTTCCACTGCATGCTTACAAAGGCAACATTTGCACGGATACAGATAATTTGAGAGATTAGATCATAAAATTAAGCCTTTGGATATGTGAAGTTCTGTAACAATGATAGTACACACTTCACAATGAGACAGAAAAGTATCCTTAAGAAGTGAAAATAAAGTGCAAATGTTGTCTTTGCCACTACAGAGGAGTGTGTCTGCCTATAATAGGAAATAGAACATTGTCTTTGAAAAGTGTCAAATGTTTCTGCTCTGGGAGATCGTTAAAATGTGAATCAATGAATTTAAGAGCCTTTCTAAATAATGAAAAACATTTTACTGAAACAGCATATCACCCATATAGGCCACAGGGTGGCCTTGGGATGGGGATGGGAGAGCCCACTGAACAGTTATTAGAAATGAATTACAATAGGATGGTAATATAAAACGCATAATGAGAAAAACATTTGACTTTTTTTTTCTTAAACAAAATGCCCTTTATTTTGTAGATGTTTTAGCAGATATGTGTAACTAAGTGTTCTGGACAAATTGGGCCATCTTTATCTCCCTTATTCTAATTCTAGAACTCAGGATGTTTAGAAACCAACTCAACCCACTTAGGGTTGAAAATATTTGCCTTAATTAGGTGTACCTTACATAAGAGCAGTTTAATCTTACTGTGATTCCTGCATGGAAACTTTTGAAAAAACAAAACTCTTGTTTCTTCACAACCGTTATCTTGGATGTACACAAAAGAGAGGTAGACACAAATGCATGGAAGAGTTGATTAAGGTGCATTTGATTGATCAAACCTAATTTTGAAATAATGCTAAGTTTTGCCACATCTTCAAGGACTGTTACATGGATCTTAAATCTACTTTTGTGGAATTTGAAGCATATTTGTGCATCCTGAGGTAAATGAGTTGGATATTTAAATTTTTTCTCATGGCTTTTGATTGTCTTTTAATTTTTCCCAACACTACAAAGCATCTTGGAAAATTTACCATTTCATTTGTTATACTCTGCCACTGATTAGCCATATTTAGATCATGAAAGACTCCTTGAAGCTTTTGGAAACACAAGTGAGGGGTGCATTACATCTGTGGGGAGATGCCAGCATCAATCACGGTGTTATTTTTTCTCTTCATCCTTTTCAGTTGTTTTGTTCCCATTTGGAAATAGTAGATGTAAATAACGTATTTTTCTATGCCTTTGTGGTTGTCTTGTTGGAGGGAAGTATGTAATGGCAGAAGCGCATGGATTGGGGTTTTCCTTTGAACACTGCAAGTAGTATTTCTGCCATGGAGCCTTCAATGTGCAATCTAGTTATTTTGGCTTCTTGGTGACTGAGAATGCACATCCCTCTTCTGGCCATGTTCCTTAGTTATTTATGAAGCATTAACAAGAACCATCTACCACTTTTCAGGTGGCTGCACGTTTCTGGTCCCATGGGAATTCACACTATATTCTGTTCCACTGTGTATCAGACATCACTAGCTATTGTGATGGGCAGAGAAGCACTCATGTTTCTCTACCTGCTGGGGAGCCTCGGAGGGCAGGAAAGAAACCTAGTGCTTCTTGGGAGTCTGTATGTTAATATATTGGCCTGGAAGGATAAGGAAATAAGACCGCCCACAGCAAGGCTGGCTGAGCTGCATGGTGCAGCAGCAATGGCCGAACAAAGATAAAACTTGCTTTGCTTAAAAGTAGATGTTTAAGCAATGCTCATTACAGGCAGTATTAAGTTTGCCTTTTGTTCAGGCCATGGCATGTATTGTTAGGATCACTCACAGCCTCCCCTCAGATGCTGAGTATACACTGTTCTTGCTGGGTGTGTTATGTGTGAGTGTATGTGTGGTCCCAAATCTTGTTTTTTTGTTTTTCCTGAATGTGATTGTGATTTGGATGATACCCGAGTAGAGTTGCCTTTTTTTTTTATTTATTACCATTATATATTTTATTATATTATATATTTTTTGCTTTCTTACAATGTTAGAGAAAAGTCAAATCTTGGTATTGTTAAAATTGTTTAAAAAAAGAAGTGGTCCAGTGGATAAATGAAAATCACTGGTTGGTCTTGAGTGAATTTTTCTTTGATTACTGTAGAATAATGTGCCAGCCACTGCTGTCAGAGCAGTGATTTTGTATGTACGATAGGAAGCAGGGATGCTTTCAATGGGAAGACGTGCAACACAGCAAGGGGAACTCCACGGATTTTTTTTTCTACTTCAGCAATGGAACTGCAACTTGGAGCTTTTGTGAAAATTTAGCTGCCTTGTATAGTCCTCTGAAAGAGACAGACATGATCTGTGAGAGAATTGAAGTTTTTTCTAGAGGAAAAAGATATTTGCAAAAGATATTTCCAAAGATAAATGTGCCACAAATCTTTTGTTTGTTCTCTGTAATGAGGAGTAAATGCTGTTTTTAAAAAGTGTAATTGTTCATCTTCAAATTCTTTCCTTTTCACAAGAGGATCGAGCTGTAAAAAAAAAAAATAAAAATTTAGAGAAATCATTGGGGGTGAGTCTGTACTTTTTCGTAGTTTGAATAATTATTAAAATGGCTATGTAAAGCCAGATATGGAGTTGTGTGCAAGCTTGATATATCAGCACTCTGGAGGCTGAGGCAGCCTGGGCTATGTTGTGAAGATCTGGAAAAAATTTTTTTTCTCTATATGAAATTGCTGTCTACGCATTAAACATGGTCTCATGTGCTCTCATTCCCAGAATGTGTTCATTACCAAAGTAGGGGAAGTAATATGATGAGGTCACTTACCCTGCTTGGTCTATTTTAAGATTATAGTCATACACAAGCTAGTCTAATGTCACCAGTGTGGCCTGTCCTAATGTTGACTACCAGGTGTGTGTATCAGTGACCAAGTTCACCTGCTTTCAACCTCTTTGCTAAGTAAGCAGGTTTGTATTGAAAGGAATCTAAAGACTAACTGGTCTTTGTTTCCTCTGCGGCAGATGTATTTCTCTCTCCTAAAAAATTTGAGCATGCATCTCTGGACGCTTTTCCAGAGAAAGTAAATGGTAACTAAAATACCGTTACAGCAGCTAATAAAAGTTTTCAGTGTTAAATAGTCCATATTCAAAATTTCAGAAGTTTCCTTCAAACTGTCTTGGAGCTTTTTTTTTTTTTAAACATGGACTCCACTAATTTTGTTCATTGTCTGTTTAGTCTATTGAGCACTTCCTCTCTCCCCTTGTAATGTCTGCTATTGTGCACTGGTTTCACTGAAGTGTCCATTAACTCATTCCTAAAAACAGAAAGTCACAACTAGAAATTGGGTTATATTTGGCCAGAATCCTCCCCAGGGACACCATACTTTATCCCATCCAAAGGTACTTGATTTATTATTTTGTTATTTTGGTGCTGGTCCTGGGGTTTGAACACAGGGCTTGAGCAATGTCCTGAGCTTTTTTTTTGCCAAGCACCACTTCTGGTTTTCTGGTGGTTAATTGGAGATAGTCTCATGGACTTTCCTGCCCAGGCTAGCTCTGAACTGCAATCCCAGATCGGTCTCTTCCCTAGCTAAGAGTACAGGTGTGAGGTGCCAGGGCCCAGCTAGAACTCTTTTATATGTTTTTCCAAAAACCTTTCCATATTTTTTTTTTTTTTTTGGGTCTGGTCGTGGGGCCTGAACTCTGGGCCTGGGCACTGTCCCTCAGCTCTTCAGCTCAAGGCTAGCACTCTACCACTTGAGCCACAGCGCCACTTCCGGCTTTTTTCTTTTTGCTTATGTGGTGCTGAGGAATCGAACCCAGGGCCTCATGCTTGCAAGGCAAACGCTCTACCACTGAGCCAACTTCTCAGCCCGACCTTTCCATATTTTTAGAACCTATTTTGTGATCCTAACTTGAATCAAATAACTTCATTAGGAGCTGAGAGCAGGTGTATTTTCCATCATTTTGTCCTAGAGAAAAGTTGGATCCAGTGGATCTGTTCTCAAACCCCACCATTGCTGGGTATTGTTTGGAAGATGGAAAAACAGAACCTGACAGTGGGAAATGGAGTCCTGTGTGCTTACACTTCTTACACTTTTTTTTTTTTTGGCTGAGCCACCCTCCCAGCCCCATTTTTTTTTTTTTTTGTCAGTCGTGGAGTCTGAATTCTGGGCCTGGGTGCTGTCCCTGAGCTCTTCAGCCCAAGGCTAGCACTCTACCACCTGAGCCACAGCACCACTTCCAGCTTTTTCTGCTTATGTGGTGCTGAGGAATCGAACGCAGGGCCTCATGCATGCAAGGCAAGCCCTCCACCACGAAGCCACCTTCCCAGCCCCCAGCCCCACTTCTTACACTCTTAGGTAACTATTTTTTCCTCATGCATTGTTGCTTGCAGGACTTGGGTTGTGGCCCCCTGTATTAGAGACTGTTCAGAACTCCTGATGAATGAAGTTTTCACTGAGATCAGAGGGAATGTGCTCTGAGTAATGGAGGACAGGGGTGCTAAGCAGGTTCAACAGACCAGATGATCCATGAGGGCTAAGCAAGGACATTGTTTCCTTATATGTATTAAAGATATTCATGTTTTATTTCTCTCCACATTCTCTTGTTTTGTTTTTATACTTTTTGACAGTTTTTAAAACTAAGTAGGCAGACTTCTGCCAGTGTTATGATTTTCTGCTTTCGGTATCTCAACCACTGTTTCCCAGACAGTGCAAGGCACAGTCTAACACCAAGCAACAGCCATTCTGGGAGGTGGCTGGTAAGTGATCTCAGTCCCCTGTGTCTTTCTCATATGTGTGTGCACACACATGCTATAGTGGGGCTTGAACGCAGGATCTTGTACTCACATTTTTAGAATCATAACTGGTGTTCTACCACTTGAACCACACCTCTAGGGTCCAGCCCTTTGCTAGTTAAAGGGAGGTAGCTTAGGATTTAGCTGCCCAGGATGACTCTGAGTCACTCTAATCTTAGCCCTTATCCTGACAGCTAGGACTGTAGGCATGAGCCTATAGTTGCTTTGGAGTTTCGGAGCTTTATCAGTGAGGAGAGGCACTTTGGGAGCTCACATTAGCTGAAGACATTTAGCATCTGCCAGGTGCTGGAGCATACTGTCACAGTCCAGGCTACTTTTCACATCATCCAAGTGGTGCTTCAATTCTTCCAATCTATTCCAAACAACTTTAGAGCCCAGTGAAGTTTTACCATAGTAGAATCGACGTTAATCTGCTGTTGGTTGTGATTAGCTAATTGTACTGTCTGGTCTTAAGAACTGGGCTCTTTCAGCATTTGTGGCTTCCTGGTAGACCACACTCAGCTCAAGTAAGCCTTCAGTGAGACACCAAGGCTCTGATAATGGAGGTCTTCTAACAGACTAGAGGGTGGGTCTTGAAATACTTTCCAAATAGATAGTTCTATTTTAGATGCAAAAAGCCATGGTGTGTGCCCTGGATAAGTGCTTTAAATCACCCTTCTCTGTTACTGGGTCCAGCCCAAACATCTCCTTCACCTTATTTCATGTATAAGTAGAAGCAGCAATTACGGGTTGGTGTGTCTCCAGTGCCTTTGCAATACACACTCCCAAAAGCAAAACCAGGTGTCCGTGTACATAGTTAATTCTCTACATGGTTAATGGGCAAAGTCAAATGCACACAATAGAAGGGAGTATGGGAAAGTGGCTCTGCTTGCCCTCCCATCTTCAAACAAACCCCTTGTGCAATGTGACCTGGTACCCAAAAGGCTGGCCACAGGACTCCTACAGTGCTGCTGTACTGGCATGGTCTGGTGCAATCTCTGGTTTTCTGAACAGTACCCATGGACGTTGTCTTCAACAAGAATTTCAACTTGTTTTGTGGTTGAGGTAGTCTCATTATGTAGCCCAATCTAGCCTTCAATTCACCATGTGGCCCTGGTTGGCCTCAAGTCAGGATACCCTCACCTCAGCCTCCTGAGTGCTGGAATAGTGTGCCACCACCATGCCTGACTCCATTAAAAAAAAAAAAAATTATATATATATATGACCAAACCACCTTAACTATGGGTGCAGTGTAAAAAGCAATCTCATGCTACTTCAATGTGCATTTCTCTAATGAAGTTTATTATTTGGTCACAGACTTATTAGCCATTTGGTTCTTTCATGCTGAGAGTTGAACCCAGGGCTTCACACATTCTAGGTAATTCTCAGCCCCTGGCCATTTCTTGAAATGCTGGTTTCTGTACTCATTGTCTTTTTCTTTCAGGCAGGAAGAGATGTTTATTGTATTACCGACATGCTGCCCCACCTCACATGGTGGAGAAGCACTCATTCCCTTGCTTATGTAATGTAACCCCACTGTACAGTATCTTTACAATAAATTAAAATTTTTTTAAAAAGCAGAAGTGAAGCTGGACCCAAGTTCAAGCACCATGACCAAAAAAAAAAAAGCTAAAACAAAGTTTTAAAAAAAGTTTGCCTAGGGGCTGGGAAGGTGGCTCAGTGGTAGAGCGCTTGCCTTGCATGCTCAAGGCCCTGGGTTCGATTCCTCAGCACCACATAAGCAAAAAGAAAAAAGCCGGAAGTGGCACTGTGGTTCAAGTGGTAGAGCGCTAGCCTTGAGCTGAAGAGCTGAGGGACAGCGCCCAGGCCCAGAGTTCAGGCCCCATGACCGGACCCAAAAAAAAAAAAAAAAAGTTTGCCTAAATACTGTCAGCAACCCATTAGAAATGGCTCTTCTTCACGTCAGAGGATGTCGCTCACCTGTGAGCTGCTAACAACCGTTCCCCTCAAGCTTTTCTCTCAACCCTACAGGAAGTAACATGCCAATAATAGAGTCTTCATGTGTGTTGCTGGCCCAAAAGTTTATCTGAAGCTCCACCAAGTGAATGGCATTCATTCTGGATAAAATAGATATCTTTTGTTTTGTGAGGGTCCTGGGGTGTGAACTCAGGGCCTCAGTGATATCCCTGAGTTTTTCTGCTCAAGGCTAGTGCCCTACTACTGGAGGCACAGTTCCACTTCTAGCTTTTGGGCAGTTAATTGGAGATAAGAGCCTCATAGACTGTCCTGCCTGGGCTGGCTTTGAACCACAATCCTCAGGCCTCAGCCTCCTGAGTAGCTAGGATTGCTGTCACGAGCCACCAGGGCCTGTTTTAACACTGGTCATTTTGAAATCTACTACATAGAAATTTCATAATGGTTATCTCTATGATCAGGTGCACCAAATCTCACCACCAATAGCCCTGATTGTTGAAGATGGTCCTATTAATAATTATTTTGAATAAAGAGGAAAAGTGGGCAAAGTGGTTTCTTATATGTGAGTTTTAGTTACATTTACTCAATATAGTGTGGCTTCCTTTATAGCATGCTTCAGAAGTAAGCATAAAGCCTCATGTCTTCTCTACCCAGGTAACAAGTCACTTTTGTTTTCCCATTCAAATAGCAATGTCTCCTATGTCTCTACTTCCAGCCATTTCTCTTTAACATACATGGCATTCTAAAGTGAACAACACCCTGTGGGGTAGTTCTGGCTGGATATTTGTCCTAATTCCCCACAGTACAACACTGACCAAAAAAACAAGAATATG